TAACATGCATTTGTATTATGTCCTGTTAGAAACTGTCTACCTCTTTCATTGACATTATTGTATCTGATAGTATTATTTGTCATCCTTTCTTTCCATGTTTTAACCAAATATTATGTGCCTTACGCATTGACTATTTATTTAATTAAATGTACTCATCTCAGCTATTAACATCAAACAGTGCCATTCTGTAGTTTATAAGAATTGCTCAATTAAAAATGCTCTTCTACTCTTATGTGTGATAGATTCTATTTTGAATGTAAAAAATGTTGATGCCTCTTATGTTATGAATGTTATGATCAGTCGTTCCAACTTGCAAACATCTATTATGATTAAGAACTGCGCTTAAAACATTAGAACTTCCCAGACACATTTATTTTGTATATGTTTTTTTAAATCTTTGTTATATATTTATAACCTCAGTTGATTTAACCTTCAGGGAGATAAATCGACATCCTGCTGAAGTTAAATAGGTTCACAAGGACAAGTGTTTGGTTTTTTCTTCATCTTTTACATTCTCAGTAATTGCCGCCACTTTGCCGTGTAGTAAAAATGCAATTTAATAATTGACAGTCTTACTGTCTTCTTTTTGTTAGCAAAAGACAGAAATTGATCTTGTGCAAAATCTGATTTTAAGAGGGTTAATTAAAAACATTAACATGAAAGCACCACACAATACAGAATAGAAACATTAAAAATAGCAACAAGTACTCAATGGTGGGAGTTCAAGGATAACAAAAAAAAAGAAGATAATAAACAAACAGATTATAATAACATATAAATAAATAGTTTCAATGAATGTTCTTGTTTGGTGATAATCTTTGATGACGGGCAAGATTTTTGGTGAGATTTCAAACAAGCTATGGTTAATATGATCGGATCAGTCACCTGATTCAATCCTGTCTTCTTCTTTTCCATACTGTGGGAAACTAAGTGACAGCCAAAGGACATTAACAGATGGGATGACCTTTACTCTCAATAGCCATTAGCGATCAGCTGATTCAAACTGATATTTGATATGACTTTGATGCAAATCTCATCCAAAACTTCAAACAACACAATACTTACGTTTAGATGTGATTAAATCAGCACATATAAACTACTTTTGAGTTACATAATTACACTTTTCGTTCTTTTTATGAGTTCACTTGAGTGATGAGACAGAGGGCACCAAATCTGACATCCATTGACCCCGCCCCCTTTTACTTCAGCCAGCCAATCAGACGCAAGAGTCAAAGTTTACGGTCCCTCGAGCTCAGTCTTATTAAATCCCCTCTCCTCTAGATTGGAGTCGGCCATTTCAACTCCACCAACACACACCACCGACTGATAACTGATAACATCTGAAGATGAATGAGACAGCTGTTTCCTTCGCCAAGGACTTCTTGGCAGGTGGTATTGCCGCTGCCATCTCCAAAACAGCTGCAGCCCCCATCGAGAGAGTCAAGCTTCTCCTCCAGGTGAGTGTTTTCATTATTATATCATACGCATGTCATTACATGCTGCTAGAAAAACTAGTGTTTATTTGAAGCATTTGCTTGCATGAATTTCTAGTGAATTGAGGGCGAACTCAACAAGTTGTATTGACATATAAAAGATGCTTCATGGTTAAAAGTAAAAGCTGGAGTCTGAACTTTAAGAAACATAGCAGCATCGTCACAGATTGCTGCAGGTAGCCTACAGATGAGAATGTGTGAAGCACGTCAGACCTGCTATGTAATGCGTAAGCGGCAGTCTCTCCAACCAAACCAAAAAAAAGTGTTATTAAAGCCATCCACTGTGAGTGTTAAGTTTGGCTTGACAACAAACAGCCAAGGTCGCAGGAAGGTCCCCCCCCCACTGCTACACTTGGCCCTGTATCAGCAGCAGCACCAGGAGGGGCTGTGGATAGTTGAATTGGTGCCATCAGAGTTGTACAAGGGAGTCATGAATAGAGGATTTAAATAGGTTACCAGGTTATACTAGGTGAATGCTCATTCTGACAGATATAGATAGAACACACTATGTAAATCATAGTGAAATAAGTTTCCAAACTACTACAATTTAAATATAAAAAAGACACTATGCATTAAGAAAACTTTGCAAAGTATTGACAGCCTTAAAACACGAAATAAAAAAAGTATATAAAAATATAAATAAGTCTCCTTTTTTATTATATCTAATGCACTGCCGTATTTCTGCTTTAATTACAGGTTCAACATGCCAGCAAACAGATTACAGTGGACATGCAGTACAAGGGCATCATCGACTGCGTGGTCCGTATCCCCAAAGAACAGGGCTTCCTGGCGTACTGGAGAGGGAATCTGGCCAACGTCATCAGATACTTCCCCACTCAGGCCCTCAACTTTGCTTTCAAGGACAAGTACAAGAAAGTTTTCCTCGACGGCGTGGACAAGCGCAAACAGTTCTGGAGATACTTTGCAGGTAACCTGGCGTCTGGTGGCGCCGCCGGAGCCACGTCACTCTGCTTCGTCTACCCGCTCGACTTCGCCAGAACACGTCTGGGTGCCGACGTCGGTACAACTGGAAAGGGTCGCGAGTTCAAAGGCCTGGCCGACTGCTTGGTGAAGATCACCAAGTCCGATGGCATCAAGGGTCTGTACCAGGGCTTCAGTGTATCAGTGCAGGGCATCATCATCTACAGAGCGGCTTACTTTGGCGTATACGACACGGCAAAGGGTGAGTTTTAATTATCAGGCATTGCAAAGCTTGAAACATCTTGTCTCTGTGGACTTCCTTCCTGATTATTGTTTCTCCTACAGGCATGCTTCCAGACTCCAAGAACACTACAATTCTTGTCAGCTGGATGATTGCTCAGTCTGTGACCGCAGTCGCTGGTCTTGTGTCTTATCCCTTCGACACTGTCCGTCGTCGTATGATGATGCAGTCTGGACGCAAAGGAGGTAGAAAGCACAACATATCCACAAACAGCTTTCTGCTTTTGCTACTGTGTTACTAGAACAAATGTGTGTCTTCTTCTGTCTCCCCCTCAGCCGACATCATGTACTCTGGCACCATAGACTGCTGGAGGAAGATCGCCCGTGACGAGGGCGGCAAGGCCTTCTTCAAGGGAGCCTTGTCTAACGTGCTCAGAGGCATGGGTGGCGCCTTCGTGCTTGTCTTGTATGACGAGCTTAAGAAAGTCATCTAAATTGTTTTTGTATGTCCACTATTCATTTTGTGAAGTTTAACTGTAACATATCTTGCACATTTGGAAAAATGTAAATGACATCCTATATTTATAGGGACCAGCAGTATTACCTACTAGTTGTACTGGGGGAATCTGTTATGCTCTCTTCTCTTGGCCCTTTCCCTGAACACAGGAAAACTTGCCATAAAATAGAGGAATAAACGCAACCTACTAAGTGAATTTTCTGCCTGGTTTTGTAATTTCATGTCATGTATAAAGTTATACCATTACAGACAGAGTGACTGAGAGTCCTAGCAGCTCAGATCCTCAGCCGTGTTGCTTCAGAATAACATTTGGCAGCCTCCTGTATGAAATGTAATTTTAGAGACACGAGGTCGTAGTTGTAGTTCAGAGCGGGCCAAAATCAGCTGAGAAAGTTGACCTGACAGTCTATCAACCATGGCATGCCTGCAGACAAGTTGTAGTAAAGAAGTCAGGACTCTTACCAGTTTTGTTCACATATATTAACAGTTAAGGAGGTGGCTTCCTGCAGAAAAGAAACCAGGATTACATGGATGAATCCGACCTTCTAAGTATACTTTCATATCCTGCCAAGTCTCTTCGGACTACTGGTGGGACTGAGGACTTAACCTCCAGTTATTTATAAGCATCTGATCTATGAAACTTTATTCAATTAACATGCACATAAATTAAATAATAGCTGCATTAAAGCTAAACAAATCAATGGACAACTAGATGTTTTTTTAGATAGTTGTTTTTGAGGCTTGTCGCGTCATAAATGAAATTCCTGCTGATCCATGATCAAGCCAGATTTGAAGAAGCGTGCACAGGACGTGCTTTTGGCTCTCTAACCAGGGTGTGTCATTTTGTAAAAGCAGATTGCAGTCTCTGTCCTCGTGCTGCCTGTCTAAATATGGGACCTATAGTGTCAAAACAACTCTAAACACTAAGCACATTTTCTCTACTTGACATCTGAAGTATACAGAAGATTTTGAAGGCCAGAAGGAAAATAAATATATTTTCTCCAAATTCAAATAAAATTATAGTTTTCCTCCTCTCATGACCTGGCCCTAATACCCTAGAACTGTCTACAGTAGCATAAAGCTAAACTATTGAGACTCTGACACATTGATATTTCACTAATATACTTACTTTGAATAATCAACTGCATGCTGAGTATGAGGTCACCGCCAGGCCACTTGGCAGCTTTGATCAGTCTTCAGACATTTTCATTGACCAATTAAAGAACTGCTACCCCCAGAGAATATTATCTATCCATTTCAAGATAAAAAAATAACAAGATGTTTAAATTATGAAGATGTTTATACTACTAGGCTGACATTCTTATTACCAATGTCTTAGAGCAATTATTCCCTCTTGGAATTGATCAAAAGATAAATTATCTCTTGTATTTTTCTGTGTCTCTCTGCTCATTATGGATCACCTGAAAAGACAAAAATCATTAGCAAAGGAGATTAAAACATTATGATAAAAACAAATCGATGTTTCTTATTGATTTACAAAGCATAAAAGGACATATAATATGGGAGAGTATGCAGCAATAGGTTAAATCGACAGAGAAAGACAGAAAAACGTCATTAATTGAGATTGTGCTTAAGTAGTTAGACACACTTGCACACTGAACCCAGACTGATCCTGAATGGAGGGCAGCCTCATTTTAGCAACACTATCAGATTACATGATTTACTCAACTGGACGTTGTCTAATCTCCTTTCAGTGATTCAGAAAGTCTTGGACGAAAGTGCCAACCCAGGGAAATCAGTTTTAATACTGCTTTTGACCCCTACATCCCTAAAAGTCCCTCTCAGCAGGTAGCACAGTTAATCCTTCATTAGGCAAGCCTCTTTCTACGGCCGCTTCATTACAACTTCATCAAGGATTAGTGAATGTGAAACCACTAACTGTCGGTGGCTTTAGTCACGCTGTGCGTCCTGGAGTTCAAGTCGGGGTGAGGAGTCAGACAATTGTCGTACACACATTCTCAGTGTGTATTTATTTTGCTAGGCTGCAATGAAAATGCGCTTGAATTCATTAATATTTCTTAGTATTTTAAAGGCATCAACACTTTGATATAAGTTCTGTTTATGCACCGTTTTCAGCCTTTGTAAGATCTTCCTTCAGACTTTCTTATTAAGATACATAAGTCTGCATCTCCCCATGACAGCCTTTGTAGATGAGCAGACTAAACCAGAAAGTGGGAGTTTAAGTAAGTGTTGTAAATGCTGCTCCTCTTCTGCTGCAAGTATTCCCCTCAACATAAGTGCTCCAATATAGCAATAACAGTCAAAACACTTGCTGCTACTTCTTTGTGTTTGAAGTTAAGATGCTCTGGCCCTGTTGTGGATGAAGTATCCTTTACTGAAGTAAAAATACTTCACTGCATTCGAAAATGTACACAAATGTACTCAAATTGTATAAAAATTAAAGGTACTCATTAGTTGGCTGTATGGCCCCTGTCATTATAATGCTACCATATCATACTATATCTTCTGATTATTATTTCTATTAAAATTACAATTAATTTACTATTACGTACTGTATGTGCAAATACAAAAGTACACAGGGAAATGTACTAGTATCAAAATAAAAATACATATTTTCACATGTACTTTTACTAATGCATTCATGTGTTCGTGAATCTTAAACAATGCATTATTGCATATTTTGTAAGCTCATCATTTGTTTTACATTTAAAATCTTATTGTTAAGTGTCAAAATAATGTAGTGTAGAAAAAATCCAAAAGTAAAATATTTTCCCCTGAATGATTGGGAAGTATTATTCAACTTAAAAACAAGTATCTCAAATATCTTACTTTGCTATCTGAGTTTATGTATTTATATGAACATTTCCCCACTGTGTGTGTTTGTGTGTGTGTGTGTGTGTGTGTGTGTGTGTGTGTGTGTGTGTGTGTGTGTGTGTGTGTGTGTGTGTGTGTGTGTGTGTGTGTGTGTCCCAATGAAGGTCTGCAGATCACTGGAGCGTCAGCCCTTCAAAACAAAAGCCCTCAGTGAGGCAGCCTGATGCACAGTGTGAGCTGTTCAAATGAATTACGTAACCTCACTGATCTCCACTAATCAGGAAAACCCCTCAGTTAGATAATTGATCTCTTCAGTTTATAGGCATAATGATTTCTGATTGTCCCGCATAATGTGATCCCCTTTAGTTTCAACAGAGTGTGCTGATTATATCATAGCTTTATTACTACGAAGCTATTCTGCCAATAGTTGTATTTATGATAAGAGCATCACATTGGAATCACATTAAGCATCACATGACATGCCTCTTAGGTCTGTCTTTAGTTTGGAGATAATCTTTTTACCTCATGCATGAATATTGTTATATTTTCAGAAATGGTTAACAATTTCTAAATATTATTTACTGCCTTTCTTAATATTTGTAATTAACATCCTCATTAACAGACATGTTTTGACTGTCTGCAATTGGCCATGCTTCGTTGTGTGATTTACACTCAAAAGTATCTTATATGTTGTGATTTAGTTAGATGTATGTTATTCAGAACAAACCCTTTCATTGTATGTGTCAAAATCAAAGCAGTTTTGTGATCGACTGTGCTGTTCATTTATTTAGAGAGCAGTGTTAGCTCCACCTTGTGGCCCACCTGTCTACTGCTACCTTAAATCAAATTCATTGCCAAGTTGCATGGGTGTTTTTGGTGCTTATAAATAAATATATTGAGAATTACAACTACTATAAAAAGTTAGGAGTGGATTTTTCACACTTATTTACTGTAAGAAATTGTAAAAAGAAAGATAAACATCATCATAACAATATTTTGTAGCAATACCACAGTAGAAATAATATGATAAAGGTAAAAAGTCATCAATTTAAATCAAGTCAAAACGTATTACCATCATATTTGATTGATTCTCCCAAAAGTAATCAGCATGAAGATGATTCATTTCAGAATAGTGTATGATGTAATTGTTTTATAATGAGTGATGCATTATGTGTTCATCATTTGTTACAGATGGTAAAGGTAGAAGGTGGGAATCATTTCAGTTACTCACATTTGTCTTAATACACCATAATGTAATAGTTTATTTATATTTCTAATAATAATCTCTATCTTTAAAATAGCTTAAGCTCCTACATAGCGAACGAAGTAAAAGGTAGATTTGTCTCAGTTTAGTAGAAGTCTAAAGTACCCTAATGTCCCTCCCTGCTGTCTTCAGAGACCTGTCGTTGCAAATGTCCCCTCTGTGGGACTAATAAAGGTATTCTGATTCGATGGCATCCGGTTATAATCAACAACAGGCACGCGGGGACTTCCTGCAGCCAATCACAGCTCCGCGTTAACCAGTTTGATAAAGTTCCGCTTTTCTCCGCCGTTTCACTTCGTGTTTGTTTCAAGGAAACACCGTGCTGCTCTCGGTGTTTAAAGATGTGGGAGAACCTGGGGGGAACACACCCGCTATGTTCACGGCACATCGGCTCTGAGTGAGAGCGACCAGCAGAAAGAGCCTCCTGTAGGAGAAGAACATGTATTTATGGCGCTTCTCCATCGCCATAACTCTGGGCTTGGTGTGGTATTTTTCAGACTGCGTTCGCTCGGTGACTCAGTACATTTTGTGTATCTTCTTTTGTTTTTCTTCTTCACTTTTCTTCGAAAACAGTGGAAGAGAGTACAGCACTCAGACTGATGAGGAGACAGTGGAACATCCCCTCCAGGTATTACATCAAAAAAAAATTGGCAACAACTTTTATTGCGGTAAATGGTTGCTTTTACGAGCAGGGTTGCATGATCGAAACTGAGTCAAATATGTGAGCGTGAGATGCATTAGTAGCCTACATCACATGATGATGGCACTTTTAACCGTTGTATATCCTGTAATAAGTGAGATAAGGCTGTTAATATTAGTATTAAATGTGTGTTAGTCAGTCACATCTCTTAAAGTCAAGTATTTACACTTGTCATATCAGTCAAATCAACTATGTGTTGAAGTATTTGCAATCATAGCCTGACGTGCATGTTTCCTACTGAGGCCTGGAGAACTTGTTTTCACTCATCACACATGTCACATGGAGTTCAGCACATACTGATGCTACAGTTTTTACTCTTTATCTTTTCATAACGTGGTTTATGAGTCGTGGTTTTGTTTTATTTCAAGGAAGCTGCTGAGGGACAGTTGCTTGGTGATTTATGTGACTTTGCAAAAAGCAGCGAGCATGCTGAACCTCTGGAGTCTCAGTATCCACATGTGAAGACGTCTCTACAGCAAGGTGAGGCATGTCTAACCGTAGAAAATGTTTTTTTTAGGGGGTTTAAATCATTTTACCGTACAGTTCTGGTAAACGTTTTATAAAAATGTGAAAGCAAAAGTAAATCAAGTTTCTGCTCTTGATCCCAGGGTGTTTTGTCAGCACATTTCACTTCTGTAAAGGACAGTTTTGCATAGACACGGCTGCAGCTGGAGCTCATGTTACATGGAGTGAGGAGTGGCTTTAAGAAAAGAATGTAAAGGATGAAAAACACACCCTCCCAGTACAGTATATAATGGATAAGGCTGCAATGTGCTACACGGGAAATTAGATTTGTGGTTCTTCAATATCAGCAGTTTCCGCTTTTCTTTTTGTGCAGTGTTTATTAAATTGGTTATGGTTAGAAATTAAGATTTATAGCATAGCTGGCGCTCAGATTCTTTGAGAATAATAATTGACTTTAAACACAGTTCATGTCCTCTCCAGTCACATTTATCAAAGCTACAGTCAGTGTTTGAAAATCCATTGAAAGTCAATGGAATGGAAGTAAAATTAAGCTTTTTGCAATGATTTGGCCTTAAAAGCACTTTTCCAGTCCTAAACACTGAATGTCAGTCATATTCAATCAGGGTTCCAAGGTGATTGTTGTTTATTTTCACAAATGTGGCTATTCATGTTAACAAAATTAAAAGCTGTCAGCAACTCATTATGTTTAAAAATACACAGCCTCCTTTAGAAATGTACATATATTCCTAACGTCTCAAAGTATTTTAAAAATAGTTTGTGTCCCACTATTAATACACAAAAACACAGCTGACAAATGTGAGATATAAAACTACAATAGGGTCTATTTACATGTAAAGTGATTTTATTTCAAGCTGTTTCCGTGCCCTTTTTTATTGAAAGTCTTTGTATGCCTGTAAATTGCTGAAAATATTAATAATTCATAGTTTAAAATATATATTATGGCCTATCGACATAAATGAGATGCTGTGTAAAAGCCCCACATCAGCACTTTCAGCTGGTTCTTGTTTTTTCTCTATAGGATTTATATATAAATAACGTTATGTTGCTATAAATAAAAAATGCTCTCCAGAAGGACCCGTCTTCATCAAGTTCAGAAGGATTTCCTGTCACGGATATCTCTGATGAGTTTTGAATTGAAAAGTTTGGACAGGAGTTTTGTGAAGTTAAAAAAACAGAGCTTGAATTTCCCCATAAAAGCTTTAAATGCGTTAACATTGACATGCCATTGCATTCTGTTTATTTAGTTAGTGAAGGCAATATTTTTCTTCCCACTGCTCCCTGTTGTTGTTTTGATAATCGTATAATCCCGAGAGTAATTCTTCATGCAATTTCAGCCTCTCACTTTAGGAGATTTTATCTTTTCTGTGTTATATATCATATTAAACGGAACATCTTTAGGTTGTAGCCTGACACAACATGACATTTAAAGACACCTCTTTGGAATTTGACAAACCCGGATGGCATTTTTTTGCTATTTTATGACAATTTATAGACTTAACTATTAATGTAGATAATATTAGGCAGATTGAGTAATATTGAATGCATTTGTTACTTGCAGCCCTAATTGCGTATGTACAAAATGTTGTGTTCTGAATGTGAATTCTCTTTTCTTTTTTCCGGAGCTTTCATTACCATAATTGGAACAAATGAAAAATTAAATGAATTTCGCTGCAGTCCTCGAGTTTGATGTTCAGAAGAAGAGCGTGGGAGTTTGGTGTGAAAGTGAATCATCTCTTTGTGACTGCTGTCCTCAGTGTTCGAGTGTGCCTACGCCCAGCTGGTCCTGCCTTGGTACGGCGTTCCTGAGCCGCGCGAGCAGCAGCCTCTGCATCAGGTGCTCAGCGGAGAGTTCGACTTTGTGATAGACCGGATCATCGACAGAGCCAAAGACTTTAATGTCTGCCAGGCGGTCGTGGGCTCTGTTCATATTCTGACCCAGCACTTACATAATGCCAAGCAGGCTGACAGGTGACGCCTACTCTCTCTCTGATTCATGCTGCTTCTGTTACTCAGTTATGTTTCTTAACTCTATAAACCTCCACAGTTTTATCACTTGTGAATTATTTACCTTACTTTTACAAGATCATACCTACAGTGACATCCTAAAAGTTGCTTTAAAGGTCCCATGTCATGGCCATTTCTACTGTTCATAATTCCATTGTTGAGCTCTACTAGAATAGATTTACATTGTTCAATGTTCCAAACTCACATTGGTTTCTCATACAGCATCTCTGTATAGTATGTGTATTCACTCTCTGTCCTACCCGGCTTGTTGAGCTCCTGCCCCCCCCTCCCTATGAGCCCACTGTGCTCTGATTGGTCAGCTCGCCCACTCTGTTCTGATGAGTCCACCACCGTTACAGCGGAACAACAGTGATTGTGTGTTACAATGGCGTTTGTTAGTAACCAGAAAATGACAACAGTAATGACAAACAGATGAGAATGCTGCGTGGGGTCTGGGTGCCGTGTTGGCGGGACGTTGCGGGCCTCGCTGCTCCGCCCTTTGAGGCTCGAGGAGCGGACAGTGTGAGCTGGATTACTGGTGTTGCTGCGTGGGGTCTGCGAGACACCGCGGAGCTCAGCCTGAGCACACACACACTCACAGCCTGAGCTCCGTGTGTTTGCGGAGCACCGCGGGGGGGGCGCCAGAGAGCTTCGGGGGGGGGGGGGGGGCGCAGCGTGAGAAAAAAATAACGAGAAACAGTGAAATCTAGCTAGTTATCTTCAGCCAGCTTTATGCGAGCGGCAACATGGAGCGGTACATTTTTTGTGAAGTTAGCCTACCTAAAGTGAGCGAGGAGACAGCGTCTGGCAGAAAACGGAGGAAGTATGACCTTGATTATTTGAAGCTAGGATTTTCATGGACCGGTCCTGGCAGGGGCGGACTGGCCATCTGTGTGTTCTGGAGAATCACAGAACGGCTGGTCGTCAGCGGGCCGTTGACGGCAGGCACCGCCCTTTATTTTAATTGTAATAATACTTACTTTGATCAAAAGCAAGTACCGGTCAAGGCTGCAGCCAGAGGATGATCTATTCCTGTCTACATTGCATCCCCGCATCATCCGCCTGTGCGCATTAAAGACGCAGACTCATTGTTCCCACTAAAGTAGGGGTGAGTGTAATAAGGAGGCAAAGTTGACGTTCAGTGTGTTGGCGGGAGCATATAAGGATTTATCCACGATTTTGAAAATGTTAAAACATTTTAAAAGATAAAAAGTTGTTATTTTAAGGAGGTGACGCTACTCAGCCAATCAAATCGGTGCAGTCAGTGAGTCAGCACGATAGATTCAAACACAGAGACGAGACAAGAAGAGAGAAAGACTCGGAGTCATTTCAAATGGCTTGCTCAAAAAAGAGAAAGGTAGACAGCGAAAACAGGTTGGCCAATCATAACAGAGCCGGCTAGCTAACCAATCAGATCAGACTGGGCTCTGGTTTCAGACAGAGGGTGAAAAGAGGTGCTGCAGCATAGGCAGTATGAGAAAAATAAAGAGCTTTTTGAACATTAAAGCATGGAGACATGTCACTGTAGTGGTACGAAATACAAATATGAACCTGCATATGAGCATTATAGGGCCCCTTTTATTGTTGGATCAAGCATCAGATCAAGATGAAACATCAACAGTCATTTCTAGTACTTCCTGTAATAATCACCCTTGCTCTCTGTTTCAGGGAACTCTTGTTCAGCTCCAGAGCAGAGGAGATCGCAGTCCTCAGGGAGTTTTCTGATGCTCTAGTACGTAACCTTTTCCCAAAACCTCTCTGGGGCCATGAAGTCAACCGCTGTGCCTTAAATGAGATTGTTGCCTTAAAGGGTAAGGAACCATCAAACTATCTCTCTGCAGGAATACACTCTTACATAAGGACACAGCTCACCAGAGCTTCTTTTACAAGTGTGATTTGTGTGTAATCCCTTATTGTCAGTGGCATAGTACAGCTTGGAGCATGAAAAAGGAAGGCACACTTCCGCAGTGATGTGCCAATTTCCTTTAGGGTTCTGTCTAATCCTTTTTAGAATAGATAACATGTCTTATCTTGTGGCAAATCTGCAGTGCAGTAGGTTTTGTCATCATGCGTGTAGCTCAGTTACAATGAGTGATTTTGACAGCTGTATTCAAAATATGAAATGGATATCTTGGCAGCTGGAAACAGCTTATTTCTAACTAAATAGTTTTGATATGAACTCAATATTTGAGTGTTCACACTAATTCAGAACATTTGGCAAATGATCCAGAGCTTTGATTTCGCAGTCAGAACTCATTTGCCAAATTTAAATTCATATTTTGACATTCCTGTAAATACAAATATTAGCTTTCTTATACAGAATAAACAAACAACAGTACTGCATGTACATTGGTACACTTTAGATGAGCTGGTAGGTGGATTTTGTTCCCATTGCAGAGACAAGCTAGTTGTTTCCAGTCAGATTTGATGCTAACATAACTGACTGCTGCCAACTCATAACATGAAGGCAAATTAGCATATTTTGTAAAATAATTTTAAAGCTAATAATTGTAAAGCTCTTTTAGCTATATTACTGACTGTGCAGCTGTGTCAAGAAGAGGAAAAGCCATAAACATGACTAATTTCACTAAACGGCTTTTGTGAAAAGTGAAATTCGTGCCTCATGATATTAGTGTGTTTATGCTAATGTCATGCAAACAGAGCTTGGTGGATTATTTTCTGTTCTCTTCAGGGCTGGGCCTGCTGGTGACATGGCTGTCGGACCCCGACAACCTGAACCAGCTGGTGGTGAACCAGCTGGACCGCGTGACTCCCAAAGGCTCCGAGGAGGAGCTGTGTGGGTCCGACCCGGATCAAAACTCTCTGGCTTCGCAGGAGGGAGAGGCTGAGGGCGGTGAAGCGTGAGTGGCTGTCATCTCCCCCCCCCCGCTGGCTTGACCTAGTCACAGTGAGCCTCAAAGGCTGCATGAGACACCTTCTGTGTTTTTTAAAATTGGAACTGACCTGATTTAGTTTGGTGTCTGTTTTCTTATGTATTTATTTCCAGGAGCTTGGAGGGAGCAGGGATTTCATCCAGCAGGATCAAGACCAAAAGAAAAGGTGTTGTGATTGGAGTTGTTGTTATTCAAAAGCCTGTTTAATTCAAAGCTCTTTGACACTCTAGGATGTTATTCTAACCTTTTTAAGCTTTGAGTATAAAACAATTCATATTAGGCAGGTAGAGTAGTTTGTGGTTGTTTTGAGGAGAGGCCTCTGCTTGCATAACATTTTGGACAAACCGTTTTGTGTACAGCAATGTGTTGTCAACTACATGACAGTGTCATTTTCTTTACATGTCTAATGAATCCCTGTTTCTTTGTTCTGTGTGTTGGTACAGCCAGCTAAGTACACACACAGCTGATGTCTGTGCCCCTCCTTTCTTTGTATTGTAAACAATCAAACCGTAATGAAGGCTTAATACGAAGCAATTATGCCATGACAATAATGAACCCTGTGATGTGACAAACGTATGCATTTTCTATAGTGATCGCATCATAAACATCATTTGTAGTAATCTGTAAGTCGTACCTAGATCTCATGGGATATCTATTCATTATTAGTCCATCACATGGATAATAAGAATTAACTAATTATACTTACATGCTTACATGCCTAATGATAATGGTGAATAGTTTCTCACTAGATTTCTATAGTGATGTCCAAGAGAAAAGCAATATGCAGATTGTTGTGATGATCAAGGTTGAGGTAGAATGCATTTGTATTGTCTCCATGAATCAGTTCATCAGAAAGGGACACTGTTTTTTCAGTGCTGTAATTTACACAATAAAGAAAAGAGTTACGAGGCAGTAACAAGTTGTGGAATCATCTGACTTTTTACATGTGGTCGTTGTCATTTACAGCCAACAAGTTAAAAGAAGGATGGTCGAAATTTGTGGACAAGGTAAAATGTAAGAAGGCCAAAAAGAAGAAGATGAAGAAGATGGAGCAAGACCTGATGCTGAGGGTCATGGCGATCCAGGGAGATGCGTCCAACGAGGACGAAGTCGACAGCAGAGAGGGCTCGCTCCACAGCCTGCACGACTCTGACAGGGTGAGGCTGCTGCACCTCGCCTCAAACTGAAGAGGATTAGTTGTGAAACATGACAGATTCACTGTGATTTTTTAAAATGTATTATTCAATTTTTTTTGTGTGTAAACACCATAAGGAGGACAGTGATCTGGAGAACTACTTGATGAGCGTCCAAGAGGACATGATGGAATTCAGGTTGTCGTATGAGATGTGGCGCGCTGGCAGCTGGGCTGTCAGCATCCCTCATGTGAGTTATAAATAACCGTGACAGTAAGGAATGTCCCGGAGGCTCGTTATCTGTCTGCTGAGGCTCTTTAAAACTTTGTCCTTGGATGGTATGTTAATGTTTGAGCAGCAGTTGACTGTGTTATAGGCTGAGTGGGATGGCGAGGAGCTAATCTTCACCTTTCACCTGGAGGAGAAGGACAGCCCGGAGAACCTGCAGTGGGACATCAAGAAGACATACATGGATGTCATATACTTCCGCAACAGATGGCAGGTAAAAGGCAGATGAAACGTTTTTTTGCCATTATTCTATATATTATCAGTTTAAAAGTCCAAATGTGTAGTATTTAGGGGAATCTATTGGCAGAAATTGAATATAATATTCATAATTCTGTTGTTGTTTCTGTATAACCACCTGAAATCGGCATTCCTCCGAACCTGAAGCCAATGCAGAAGTGCATTAAAAAAAGTGTATTCTCTCTAATGGCTAGCAGGGCGACATGATAGTTATGAGTTACATTTTTTTGCCTAGAAACATCTTGTTCAGCATTTTTTTGTAATCGTCTCCATCCTCTTTTGTCACTTCTTCTTTCCAAAAACAACATGGAGACTTTCACATTTTTCCGGCTATACATTTCTATATTAAAGTTGCTGTAGACTATGCCTATCAACAGTGAAATGTACACATTGTGAGGGGCTGCTAAATACCAAATGTACTGCAGTATATTCTTTTTGCTTGACCTCCTGTGAGGCCCTGTCGTCTCCATGCAGATGCTCTCTGTAGTTTCCACAGTGATTTACAGTTAAATCATGAATGTATAATAACTTAAATCTCTTCAAATTATATTTTTAGTACGCCCCTCTTGGGTCGTCCTAACTCACCCTTTTCTGTCTCTTCACCCTCCTCCCAACTCCATCTCCACACTCTCAACCCTCTCAACCCTCCTCCCACCGTATATAAATCCCCCCTAGACCCCACTCATAAAAGAAGAACTTCTGGTTGTCAGGACTTTTTTCCTTTTGACTTCAGATAACAGTTGTTTTGACCACTTACTGTCTAGCATGAGCCAGAGGGGGAAGCATTGTTGTGAAAACAAACCACAACTTTTCCCTGAAAGTCAGCTTATTGAACGGGCTGTCATGAGGGATACAGTTTTATTCTTTTGCCAGATATAAAAAACAGCGGGGTTGACCAAACACTGTTCAGTCTTGAGGCTGTCTTGTCATAAAATGATATTTTTCCTCTTTCTTTTTTTTTAGGACTCGACCAGCCTGCCCACGATCCTGCTGCTGCAGAAGTGGGAGGTCAACGCTGAGGTCAAAGAAGAAGCCAGAGTATCAGTGGAGCACTTTCTGCAGGTATAGACAACATCAAACTTAGATGTGCTGGCAGATAAACACCATCATAATCATCACTCAACATTTTCTTCATTTCTTTTCCAGGCGTTAGTTTCTGCTAATCTGATCGGCCAAACTCAACCGGTTTTTCAGTTCCTCTGCCCACTCGACAAGCTGCTGAACGAGGAGGAACATTACGGAGGCGTGTGGGGCCTCCTGAGCGGCCTGGCTTACTTCCTGACTCCAGGTCAGGAGGAAGAGGAGGTAAAGTTTTACATATTTGCTTTTCTTTAAGTCTACATGTTAGAGGCGCGATGAGTGTGGTCTGTCAACAAAAAAGTTGGCCCCGGCTCAACAGGGGTTACGCTGCTCCACAGCCTGTGAAACCAACACCAGATTTACTCTCTCTTGCTACGATCTGGCACCTCGGCGCTACGTTTTTATAGAGGTTGGCGCCCGGTCAAATCCCGAACAAAGCAGAATGAAAGAAAAAGGGAAATGCAGGCAGAGGGCTTCAGTCTCTGCAGATAAAATAACTCTGAGAGATGATCAGACGTGGATTAAAAAAACTCCCAGGAGAGAGAACAAAGAGATGAGTCGTAAAATCACAACACAAACTCTCCAATGTTAACATCCTGCACAGTTTACAGACCTTGTGCCGTGTTGACCTATTTCCCATGGTTGTTTGCACACACAGAATCAGTCGGCTATATGAGGGGGTATGCCATCCCGACTGTTAGCAAAATGACCTTGTTAACCTGCAATAATCCTCATCACCTGTTACAGTAGTTCTCAACCTACAGGTCGGGAGCCCTAGGGGGTTGCTAGGTATTGGTTTTAGACATTGGCTTTATCGGTAACTAATTTGCCTTAAAAAAATATATTTTTAGTTGATAAGAAAGTGTGTGTATGGGATTCTCCTTGGGGATTCCCAGCAGGTCAGAGGGAGTGTCAGGGAATGCATGAATACAAAGTGTCTGGAGCTAGCTGAAATTAAACTAACATCATAACAAACAAAGCGTTATTATTTATTTATATTTTCAAAAAGATCATTTGAGTTGAATTCTCTAAATTAGCAAGTGGAGGCCCAAAGAATCAGCTGTTCTTGAGGCCTCTAACGTGTCAGCTCCTTGAAAATGTGTGTCTACAGCAGCAGGAAGAACAGACGGGAGAATCAGGACCGGGCAGGAAGTATTTCCCGTCTTCAGGCTTTAGTAAAAGTCTGGGTTGATTTTTAGGTTTTACAAAGTAATGGACAACATTGATGGTTTTCTCAAACAGTGGCGCTACAAGGATGCAATATATTTTCGATCATTGGAGAAGACTTTAATGATGCATTTGATGAATTGACATGACAATAATGTTGAGAGTTTAAATACATTTTTGAATAAAGATTGTTTTTAAAACAAAAAAAGAATCACTCCAACCCCTTCTCTCACTCATTAGTAGTTTTTTCCTTCACCTTGCTCCCATTTCCCTTCTCTGTGGATTTCTACAATGAGGGGAAAGTTCTATTTATAACCATCAAAAGCGAGCAGTAAGAAACCGTGACGTGACGATTTCTGTCCATCTGTTTGGTGATCTTTGCTGCCTGCTCGTTTCGGTACTATGGACAGCGCCCCAATTAAGCCATACTCTTTTTACCATTTTGAAGCACAAACGCCCAAAAAGCATGAAACCTTTTGACATCTACAGTATGTGGGGATGAGGAGGTGCAGTTGGCATGTGCAGCAGAGAAAGTGCAGGAGCAGAGAGTTTGTTTATATGATTATCAGTTAATTAATAGGTGTTTATGTTAGTTTTGTCAGCCTGACTCATCGATCCTCTATCTCACTTACATTTTAAGAATCCTAACTAGCCTAACTGTGCTGTGTATTGATACATCCACGGTGTTGTGGTTCTTACGTAAGACCTGTGATGGTGACTAATTCTTATTGCTAGGGGGGGTATTATAAACGGTCAGATTTTCTGACTGCTCATGTTCCTTACTCTGTGTTTTCAGACTTGGCAGTTTCTTTATTATAATCAATGACATCATGAATAAAACAAAAGCAATCAGAGATTGAACTGGGAGTGAGGATATCCTTGACTTTTAATCCCTGTTATGCCTCAAGCTGGAATAACATAGACCCTGCATTTCCAACAATGTAACCTTACAGTATCTTTCATGAGAACTGGCACCCATGCTCAACACTGATAGCTTTTAAATGATTAAGCATCTCTTGTTTTAAACACAAGCTTTTTAGTTCAAATATAGTCTAGTTGATATCACTCTGCTGTGTTGCATTCCTTGTAAATCCAACTACATGTGTTATACAGTGGAGTGGAGTCTTGCTGAACAGATATATTTATGGATTAGTTCCCTGCTGGTGTTAGCCGCTCTGTGAGGCTGGTGCCTCAGGGTCTGCTGTCACAAGCTGATTGCTTTGTTTTCTCTGCAGAGCTCCAGCCCACAGACAGAAGCCCCCAAAGACATCATAACACCATTTCTGCATCCAGAATCAACAGCTCTGCCTTCAGAAACCGCTGCTGCCTCTACTGAGAAGGGCAGTGATGTTCCTGATGCTTCAATCCCTGCTATTGTTATAGAATATGACTCTCCTTCTGAAATTCCGGAGGAAGAAGAAACAGAAATTGAGCTGCGGTCTGCTTCTAACTGTGACTCTTCAAACGAAAACAGTACCCAAGACAAAACGGAGGAGTCAGATAACCCTTTAACCTCTCACTTTAAACTCATGTTTAAAGGTCTGAGTCGATCCAGGTCACAAGAGTCTCTTAACTCGACAAAAAACAGCAGTGACACAGACCCGCCTGACTCCATCTCCTTGCCTCACTGCAGCCAAAATGGAGGCATGCAGGGGGACAGCCCAGATGGACCATCCTGGCTTCTTTTCAGTGCAAAGTCACATAAAAGGGAGAAATCATGTTTTAGGATGGCAGGTGCAGTGCATAAGGCTAAAGTGAAGGACCAGGTCAGTTCTCCACGGGGGGAGGACCTCCAGGGTCAGAAGAGCCAAGTCAACTTGGAGCAGCTGGAAGCGACCAAAGCCATATTTGATCTGCTGAAGGAAATATCTGGTTTGTTTAAACTATTTAAGGCATTCAAAAGATGGTTAAGATGTGTTGAGGTTCTTGTCCATGGTCGCATTATACTGCAAAGAAGTAAAGTAATGTACTGCTGTGGATGTTGTTTCTCCTAACTTTCGGCGAGCCATACACAATATATGTACTATCTCTTTAAGGCCTGCAGGATTTTACAAGGGCCATTCTTTTTTTTTTTTTAACATAGGGCCTACTGCAACCTTTAAATTAATTAATGCATTTTTCCTAAAGTCTTCAAACCTGTAGAGACCTGGCACTCGCCTGACAAAGCTAATCCTTTGCAATGTGGTTTGTTTTTATTAACCATCATGTGGTATCTTGATGTGAAAGCATGCACTGGTATTAGAAACAGGGTGGTGCATTTGTGTGCAGTGACAAGCTAGAACAATCAAGTGTTGGCAGTTTGTAGCTTCAGAAGAGAGCCATAATCAAACATTGATGTGATGAAAATAAACGTTTGGTGACTTCATGTCCTGAAATGTAGATACTTAATCATACAGGCTGGAAGATAGTAAAGAAAAATTGAGTAGTCTGAACCGCTTTAAAAAAAAAGTCTAGTCATGACAAACTCATATTAATCTATATTATTACTGACTTGCTGCTCCTGTCTTTGATCAAGTAAATTCTCTCCATAAATCCAATTTTACAAACTAAGCTTTAACACTGTCTGTTTCAACAGGAAACTCCATCCTCGTGAACATATTTGATGCCATTTTGAAACCTTTTACGCCCATCTTGAAAAAGTAAGTGTGTTTTATTGATGAATCTTTTTACAGAGTTTTGATTAGAGCGTGTGAATCCTCGAGTGACTTCTGGTTGTTTTCTCCTTCAGGAAAGTGAACTCTTTCCTGGACAAGATGAACCCAACAGAATTGCAGATGGCGGCTTATATCGACACTCTGCGGAACAAACAGTGGCCAGAAATCAAACCTGCAGCACCTCATCATGCTCGCAGTGAGGAGGAGAAGAGCGAGACGAGGGAGCGGGCGCACGGCCTGATCAACGCCAGATGTAGGTGACACCTCTCCATCAGAAGGAAGTACACAGTTATTTTTGGCGCATCTATAATCTCTTTTCATGTTCTTGTTGTAGATTCAAACTATCTAATCCTGAAGAAGACAGACATGGAGGCTGTTTTTAATCTTTTCCAGGACAGAGAGGGAAACCAAACGCTGGTATATGTGAGTCTCATCATTTACTTTCTGTCATTAAATTATTCAGATCATTTATTCAAGTTGAAAGTTGGAAAATACTACAGCGTAAAAATACTCCATTACTAATTAAATGTAGTGTAGTACAAGTATAAACTAGCAGTTAGACTAGCAGTTAATGGAAATACAAGCACCTAAAAAGTCGGCAGACTACAAAGTAACTCATAAAGCTAAAAATCTAAGTGTAGTGATGGAGTCAGACCTGAATTTTAACAGTCACATCACAGCAGTCATTAGGTCTGCCTACTATCACCTGAAGAACATATCTAGGATTAAAAAAACGAATGTCGCAACAGGATTTAGAAAAACTTGTCCGTGCTTTTATCTTTAGTAGACTCGACTACTGCAATAGTGTATTCACAGGGCTCACAAAAAAATCCATCAGAAAGCTGCAGCTGATTCAGAACGCTGCTGTTCGAGTCCTCACTAACATTAAAAGAGTGGATCACATCACTCCGGTTCTGAAATCTTTACACTGGCTTTCAGTCGGGCAAATAATTGATTTTAAAATACTATTACTAGTTTTTAAATCACTAAATGGCTTAGGACCGAGGTATATAAACGGTCTCCTGCATAACTATGAACCATCAGGGAGTCTCAGGTCCTCTGGGTCGGGTCTGCTCTCTGTTCCAAGATTAAGAACTAAACATGGAAAAGCAGCATTTAGCTATTATGCCCTGACAATCTGGAACAAACTGCCGACCGCATGCACGTCCGCTGAAACACTTCCTATTTTCAAATCCAGACTAAAAACATATCTATTTGCCGCTGCTTGTAATAGAGCTGTATGCCTTTTATTCATGTATTCTGTACCTGCTGTGTTTATTTATTTATTTCATTATCTTTGCTTTTTTTATGCCTGTTTTTAAATGCCATTTAATAATGTGTTTATGCTGTATTTATTCTTAAATGTCTTTTTGTTTTTATTTTGTAAAGCACTTTGAATTGTCACGTGCTGAAAGGGGCTATATAAATAAAATGGCCTTGCCTTGCCTAAACACTGTACATGGGTACATTACTTGAGTAAATGTACTGACTTCACTTCCAAACACTTTCTAATTTATCAGTTTTTTTGTTTTAATTTATAAAAATGTTGTTCTGATTTTGTTGCATTATCTTTCATAACAGATGCTCCTGTCATACCTGATAAGGGAATTTTTTCCCAACGAGCATTCCCTAAATGTGAGCGCCGCTGCCCTCCAGAAAGTGACCACCTCCCCCAGCTGATCTGTGAATCATCAATGTTTTTAATGGCATTTTTTTTAGAATATCTAATTATTTATTTAACATAAATGCCCTGAATATCTGTGACCATTTCTGTATAGATGTCGAACATTCCTCTCTGTTGTTTTTACCTCAAATGTACTGTGAACAGTTTTGTGTTTATTCTTTTGGTTTTTATTTTTTAACAGTATCATTTTGTAAGTAATTAACCCTGACTTTAATCTTTGTGAAATCAGAGACATTCTTTATGGGATCAAGCTTTACACATTTTGCTTTTATTGTAAAACTCACAGGAGAAAGTAATAATTACACCCTTCAAAGTTAAAGTTGAATTACATATTAGAAAGTATTTTGTGTCACTTTGAGCACTTGTTTTTTGGTGAGTGTTTATTTTCTGATTAAGTTTTATATAATAGAAGATGCCACAATTACCTTTATCTGTCAGTGGACAGTGCCACTAACAAAAGAAACTGTTGATGTGAAACACTTAAGTTTATTTCAAATGAAATATTTTAATAAAGATTCTCGTTAAATGTCCTGCTTTGTGTCTGTTCATTGAGTTAAGTTTGTAATATAGCAGTAAATCACGTAAAATGTAATTTGGTTGCTGATGCCAACTGCTTATTTTCTCTGAAGCAATTATAAGGTAGAATAACTATCATTACTTTAAAAAAACAAAACAGAAAATGCCCATTTATTTTTACTGTTGGTTCACGTTAAGTACCATAAATGTCCTGTAATGTAATAGATGCACCCTAAAATACCGGTTTAAATGTTTTTTAATTATTAATTTCATATTCACCATTAAGCAACGCAATATATTTTATTTTTAATAAATCATATAGGCTACTATTTAAAAGAAACAAATATGTATATTCTTTTTTTGAACACTAGCCCACTTTTAATTAACAGTGAAAGAGTAGTTTCTTTGCTATAAATATACCCTTTAAAAATTGAATTGTATTGAAACTCTGAAGTAGCCTACCTTTTTTTAGGTTCTTTTTTTACACATGTCCTGTTTTCTTTATACTTTTTAAAATATTGTTATACTACACTTTTTTACTCTGGGATTAACTGAAAGATTTAACTTTTATGATATATATATATAAAATATATATACACACATAATAGAAAATGTTCAGTTATATACTGCAGATATCACATAAAGAAAACCTGAAAATTCCTTGTTTATTAGGTTCTTTTTTTCACCCTTTAGATACACCACTATGTACTTATTTATAAAATAAAAAATAGGTAACCGAATTTTTTTTCCACTAAAATAACAAAAAGAACCCTTTTTATTTGCACACATGATCCAGACATGGATGTATAATCATGTATAATAAGAACGGGTACAAGATGGCGTCTATCAACTTCCGGCGGGTGGGGGTGAGTGAGGGCGAGTACTTCCGGTGTGAATGTTCTTTTGTTTGTATACATCCATGGTTTGAATACAGAGTTTTGACCGTTTGTTTTGACATAGACACCAAGAGCAAGAATGAGCGGATTTGGAAAGGTTAAAGAAAGGCGAGTGGCCTTCCAGCGGGTAAGAAAGTCGGCACTACATTGCTGTGTGCCCCTTTGTACAAATTCGTCCCGTTATAATCGGGAGATAAGTTTTCATTCATTTCCTATTAATGCTGAGGTAAAGGCTCAGTGGCTGATCAAGGTCCGTAGAGACAATTTCAGCCCCACAAAAAATACCCGTGTGTGCAGTAGGCATTTTCTACCAGGAGACTTATTGGTCACAGCTGGAGGACTGAACAGAGTACAGAAAGGAGCTACACCTGTTCTCTTTGCATGGAATAACTACGAGCTACCTACACCAAGACGTAATGTTTGGGAGGATCGGCCGAGGGCAGAGAGTCCCACCCCGGACTTGACAGCTGAGTACGAGGTGGAAACAGTTGCGCCGCTGGATCATAACTACTCTTTAAATCCAGCGACGGCCGTGATGGCCGACGAGAACGAAGCCTTGAAAATGCAGGTTAGGGAGCGCCAACTCCAGCTGGAAGTGTTGCAACTGCGATCTCGTTTCGGGATACAACGCCTGGCAGGGTCGGACGAGGACATTCGTTTCTACACCAGGTTGGTTTATAAATGATAAGGCTATCAGGATGTTGTTATGGTTACTAGTTTGAAAAACACGTTTAATTTGGGGAAGCTAATTTAAGAAACAAAACAATGTCTAACATGAACATTATTACATTCTTAGATTTGCCACATACAAGCATTTCCTTGCCTTTTGGAAAATGGTGGAGCCAGCAGCCAACACCAAGATGGTGCGGATCACCAACGCCAACTCTGCCAGCGGCTGGGATTCCTCTCAACCAACAACAACAACAACGGTATGCAGCATGGATGTATATTAATAATTATGCACGCTGCGCACAGCTATACCACCGTTTAACAAGTGCATCACCACACACCAGGAAAAAGTTTTACAACTGTACCCGGTCTCCCCTATAACAGCATCTACAGTAAGCCTAACACTTATTTGTATTCACAGACACTTCCACCCATAGATGAGCTGCTGCTGTTCCTCATGCACCTGTCAGCGGGCCTACATCTGAGGGATCTAGCAGAACGGTTTGGCATTCACCGCACCACAGTCAGCAGAATTATTTCCACCTGGACACACTTCCTATACCAACTGCTTGGAAGCAAACGTCTGTGGATCCCACGCGAAGTTGTCAGAGCTCACCTTCCACCAGAGTTTTCAGCTTTCCCTGACACACAAGTGGTGCTTGACTGCACTGAAGTATTCTGCCAGACTCCATCATCTCTCCTGCTGCAGAGTGAGGTGTTTTCAACGTACAAGTCACATGCTACATTCAAGGCCATGATCGGCATGGCACCCCATGGTGCCATTACATTTGTGTCGGGCTTGTATGCTGGATCTATGAGTGACCGGGAGATCTTCAAGCTGTCTGGCATCGTGAGCCTGCTCACACCAGACATGGCAATAATGGTCGACAAAGGGTTCCTTGTGGAAAATCTGGTTCAGTGCAAAGTTTACCGGCCTGCCTTTCTGTCAAAAAAAGCCCAAATAAGCAGGGAGGATGTCAGGCAGACTCAATCCATTGCACATCTGAGGGTCCATGTGGAGAGGTGCATCAGAAGGGTAAAAGAGAACAAACTCTTTGACATAGCCATACCACTGTCTGTGTGTGGAAGCATTGAGGAGCTTTTCAATGTAGCTTGCTTCCTGGTCAACTACCAGAACGGACCACTGGTGAAAGCATGGGCAAGCCTGGGCAAGCCTGGGCAGCAATGATTAAAACATGTCTTGCTCCCAAACCAATTGTGTCCTTTACAAAAAGCAGTTATACCATACTATGTTTAGGTACTAATGAATTATATCCTCAAAACAAACGCACACATAAATAACATGGGGAAAATACATAATTTAATAAATCCACAATATGATAACATTTTACAGATTCATTTAATAAACTTTTACAAAACATAGGTTGATGTTATATCGGGGGGAAAAAATACATTTTTAAACATTTCAATTAGTCTCTGCATATTTAAGTAATGCTAGTTTATATAACAGATGTACAATATCCAGAAAGTAGATGCAAAAAATATATTTAATGTGTGCATTTCCAACATTTCCTCTGAAAGAGTGTTATATCAATGCAAGATAAGTTAGTTATCATCCACAACTTTTGTTAATGGATAACTATTGAGTAAGTTGAGTAGTGAGCCATTCGTTTTAGGTGATCATACTCCATATGACATTAAATGTCTGCCAATAAACACCCCTTTCCTCCTCACATTGGTCCTTTTGAGTAAAGGACCTTTTTGACTTATAGAACACACTTGGTTCTGGTTCTAGCAATTGAAAGAACTATATACAGGAAAATATTCATGTTAGATCAGTAATGTATAGTGTGATGTAGTGTAGTGCATATCAGTCCATGTAAAAATAAAAATAAAAATAATCTCCCTTCTCCCTAATGGTTGTAGCCACCTCGCAGTCTCTGTAGATACGTTGTATAAGGATATCCTCCTCTGCAAAAACTACGAAATCGCACCACTCCATCCCTGTGAGTAGGAGCTGGCCTTGCACCTGCCAATAGTAGCTATGAGACTGCTTCAGTTTTAATGTGCCACTTTGCATTTTTAAGTAGCTACAGTCCACATAACTCTTCGCATTTGGGCATTTTATTTCTACAAGTCCAAAAGGTGGGCTCTCAGTTGGGTCAAACACCAGACCGTAAGGAGATGACCCTAACCAGGGGGCATCTGGGTGAATGACAAACCCACACGGCCAGTAATTGGTGTTTTTAATCCGGCAGTATTCCTGGATGGCAACCGGTTCCAGTGCCAGTCCCCTCTTCATTGACGCCGTTTGTGCCACTCCCTTCCGAATCCGTTGTGCCAAGTTTTCAGCCGAACTCTGACCTCGAACATGGCATACTTCTCGGAAACGGGAAGAAGTTATTCTTGGCCTCCTAACACGGTGCCATTCCACACTGTCGCTCTGCTCCCTTGTGGCCACCTCGATTTTCCTTGCCATGAGCAATGTTGTCGCAAGTGACAGTAGATGGAGGTGCTGTTGGTGACTGCACACAAACTCACAGGTGGTAGGCTCCAGCCTATAGCCATCCACAGGTAGAGGTGGTGGTGGAGGGGCATCTGGGTGACGCACTATAACCCGGCTAAGAGGTAGTGGATGCTGGTATGAGATAGGGCTACCTTCCTGAACTTTTCCAAAGGTGGAGTTAACCAGTGGCACGTCCACACTTATAGCCATGGTGGTGATCAGTGGTGCGATGTCTGCTGAGAAGTCCTTGTATGCCTCGCTGACTTTGAGGACATCTGGGTCTGGCAGCTCCCCCCGCACGGCCTTGTAACGTGTACTCCTTTGAACATGTTTATATGATAATTAGGACTTTAAGAACAATTTTACACTCAGACAACAATCACAAAGTTGTAGCAGGATACATACAATTACTTAGGACAATAGATATTACCTTACACCGTCAGCAACTGTAAACTGCTTTGGCTTAGTGGAAATGAACACCATGTCACTCACTCTGCCTGGTTGCACACCCTATTAATTACACAAAAGAATTGTCAAATTAATTGAAATGGTTTTTTCGAAATAAGGTCCCATGGGTCGGAAGTAGATGGGCGGGACTTCGCCTCTCTATACATCCATGAGCAGAGCCAACAGGCAGGAAGACTCGAGCACACAGCTCGCGCTTCAGTATAATATATAAAAAAAGAACACCATGCGTGTCATGATGGCACATAACAGCTCGCGGCCGCAGATTACTCCGGGTCCCATACCCCAAAAATATTTTTATTGCAGATCTCCATGAATCACACAAATGACCTATTTTGGATTCGAAAGGTGACAAGTTTGCATCCCTGAATACCAATAAAGGACTGACTTATCTAAAGCCAGTTGAGTAGCACTTGAAATGTTTGGCTCTATGAAACTGATGTACTTATATGATTCTGTTTTCTTCAAGTTTGTATCTTCTTGGTCGAATGCACTTATTGTAAGTCGCTTTGGATAAAAGCGTCAGCTAAATGTAATGTAATAAAGAAACTACGATATATATATCCATCATGTCGTGGCAGTCTTATTTGTTTCAGTAAGAGTGTGGATGGTTTCGGCAGTCAATATTACTAGGAAAGAGATGGAAAATAAAAGTTTACCGAGTTAATAAGCTGGGTTTGATTGAGCCAAATCTAAGGTTTGGGTTCAGGTTATTTTTCTGTACCCTAACGTAGATTAAATTTGTTTAGAGTTAAAAGACGGTAGCAGTTTTGAAACACATTTTAAAATCTACACAGAAAGAATCTTCCAAAAAGTAACCCATGCTCAATCACATTGAAAAAACATTATGACAATCATAAACAATAACATCTAAGGCATCAAAACAAGCTTACCGTTACATTTTTTGTTGACAATTTGTCAGGTTTTTGAAGTTCCAGACTTTGACTTGAGCTTTGTTCACTTTTGTGTAGCTGTGGGTTATCTGTGATCGCATCTGAGACCGACAGGGAGCAGTTCTCCTCCTGTCTAGGCTCGAGAGTGCCTGATGAGTCCGGTCTGAACTCAATCACCTTTATGTGGAATGGATTAGTGATACAGGGCATGCATATGTCTTCTTCTTCTGTTTCATATTTTACACAATCTGAGCTTATACAGTTATCCACTTCCCCCAGTCCTTGCTGTTGTTCTGATACCTGACCTATGTCATATTCAATTGGCTCTTCTTTAGGTTTTTTGGGCAACGGTTCTAGTATTTCTTGTTCCAGCCTGGATCTCAGCTCACAGGGCTGCTCTCTGACCTGTGTGGCTCCAGAGTATTGGCCAACATCTATTGTGGGGGGAAAGGGGAAACACAATATTTAATACTAATACATATTTTGCTTCAATTTGAGTATAAAACCTATATAGCCACAGTTCCCGCCTCCGGAAGCAGTCTTTATTTTTAAACACCGGAAAAGTTACAAGACAGATGAAAAATGTAGAGCAATAGAGAGGTGAAGTCCCGCCCATCTACTTCCGACCCATGGGACCTTATTTTGGAAAAAGTATGTATTGAAGTCAATGGGGAGAGAAAGATTATCTTTCGATCCCGTTTGAATTGTGCCACAAATTACACATATAACTCATGTGACCTAGTGTCTCCAAATAATTACCAGATATGATTTAAAATCACACATCTCTTTTAATTGGATTTTAGTGCTTCTATAATTTAAGATTTTTTAAATAATTATTTTTATAAAAAATTACATTGATCCAATGACTCAAAATCAATGCAGCATTGTATTCATACACTGGACAAGAAGAACACACTTCTTTATATTTGGTTTTAGTCCACCTTATATTGTTAGAAATAATGTAATGAACATTAAGTATTTTTTTGTTAAATAGTCAAATTAGCTTCCATGTCATGTGTCAGTGACTCCCAAATCTATACCAGATAACAACACTGGCCAAAATAGACACACCTCTTTTATTGGATTTGAGTGTTTCTTTTTAAATTGTATATTTGTATGCAATTTGTTGTAGTCTCTTTTAAATAGCTTCCATGTCATGGACACACAATAACAGTTGGATAACCAGGGGCTATATCAAACTTGCCTTGCAGTAGTGGTATAAGAAGAGTTTGGTTACATTTAGGGTAAAGTGCTTGAGTATAAGTATACAAAAACAACAACTGTGGAGCACTCAGTAACATCAAATTAAGGTATAATAGCTACAGACTGCTGTGGAGGCATCACTTTCATATATATAAAATGTCCCTAAACGAATGTTTAGATTGTTTACGTCACGTGCTATAGTTAACCAGTCTTATCTCATATTCAGGCTCATGCAGACACATTAACTTGACATATCTAGGCAGTTAAAATGTTTGCGGTAACCAAAATTGACAAACCTATTTTCGATAGCTTTATCTCTGGGTTGAGCACCATGTGCAGCACATTCCGCAGGCGCTTGTTTTCCTCGTAGTAAGACTCCACAATAGTTTCTATTTCTCCAAATATCTCCACGGCCGCGGTAGTTAAGCGTTCAGTTAAAAAACTCCGTAAATGCAGCAGTTTGGTGTTAGACATCTTGAGGACTAACGTAATGTTAGATCAAGATATGTTGTATTTAACTTCTCCTCGACGTCGTACAAAGCGCGTTTCACTCAAACACACAGAAACCATCCGGAAAATTCAAGATGACTTCCGTTTAAATGAGCGCCATCCTCAGGACGATAGGCAAGTAGCATCAACAATATCAATCAATAGATAGTAACACACTTCCCCCGTCACTTCCGGGCAAAATGAATTTTGGGGGTAAACAAAGCTGTCTTTTGCTATATCGCTATCTCCATGGATGTATAAGAGGCTATCTCTCTCGCTATCTATCGCTCTTCCCTCTACCGCTCTACTCTCGTAGACCGGAAGTTTACAACCACACAATGAATGAACCGGAAATGGAAATACGTCATCCCGTGCAACTCGTGCAACTAGCCTATAAACTGCCAGTACATGCCAGTTGAAGGTCATCCTGTCCATAGATATATATATCTATGATCCTGTCCCCTATTATACATCCATGGCCCCCCCTCACCGAGTCCTCGCTGTGCTCCTGGAGGCTGCAGTTCCTCCTCCTCTCCTGCAGGGGGCATCATTTTCTCTGCGGCAGGAAACCGGCCGCTGCCTTTAGAAATCCAAGATGTCTGCGCCCTGAAGGATGCTGCTAACAGCGTGAAGTTACAGGACAAGTGACAGGTACGACAACTATGCGGCTTCTGTCTATCTTTAGAGCTCGACACTGGTTTATCTGACTCGTTATTGATGTTTAAAGCTGTGTTTTATGATACCCGGAGTGTGTATGAACTAAGAGACAGGTGTGTGTAGCTGCTTGATGTTCAATGTTACTGCTGGACTCAAAGTGTAGCAGCTTAGCGTTTGGCTTTTGTGTTTTAAAGTTCACACATTGTCGTTTTAGATTGAACACGATCTCATTGATCTGTTTGTCATGAGCTTCTGTTATGCATTTGAAATAAATTGCTATTTCTGAAACCAGGATCTTACTATGAGCAAAAAGGATCTATTATGAGCACAACATATTTGTATCTAAGGTTAAACAGTTTCCCCCCCCTAAACACGTCTTCGTGTTTCTGATGTTGTTTGTAAGTGAGGCTTACTTGGATAAACACATGTCTTTTCATGCATATTTAGCAATATTTAAATCAAAATCGTGTTGCTCAGTGGTGGGGTTGAGTTGCATGTGTTCCCAGGCCACACTCAATGGAATTAGATGAACACAAATACATACTTGAAGAGACTGATAAACTGATAAACATACACCAAGGACCCTTTGCTTACAATGTTTCTGTTTTCATAACATTAAGATGTAATGTTATAAAGAAGTACTTACGATCTTCAATACCAAAAGTGTACTCTAGACTAGAGAAAAAAAAGAGCTTCTCCATATATTATATTTGACTAATGTGTTTGCTTGATGTGGAATTGTCAATACATTTTACTGTTTTACTTTGCTATTTTATTCTGCCTCTTGACGACCTAAGCTTCAAATCGGTGTTGTTCGTTCCTATAATATTACAATTAACACAGAAACCTTCATAACAGACTGCAGGGAAGGGAAAACCCTAAAAAGCATCATAGGGCCCCTTTAAGTTTTGACTAGATTATTTCTTCACTTGAACTACTTCATGCTGGGCCTCAAATATGATGATCTGATAAACGACTCTATGTTCTAACGTTGTTAGATATGTGTTATGGGTCGATTCATAATGATTACTGAAAAATCTCTAATTGGCAGGAAGTACTTTTAGTAACCTGACAGCATAACCAGGTATTTCTAGAGTTAAGAATTAATTTGCCTAAATGCACCAACATTAAACAATGATGCAGGGGTCTTTAACATGTTTAAAGCCAAGGGCCCCTTATATGAAATAGAGACAGAGCAGAGACATCCCATACAGTATTTATAAAATAGAGTTTCCTATTGTGCGGGATGGCCTAAAGTGACTTTCACAAACACACCTTTTTTTATATTGCATACATACCTATACAAAATGAAATCTGTAGTTAATGAGTATGCTGTTGTGGACGGATGCCTATATTCATATATTTACACGCATCTCTTATTCAGAGGGTTAGCTATAGTTTACGTGATTGCACAATGATTTATGTGTAGCAGTTAGCCTATATGATTAATGTGTGAATTGGATGAAGTGAATAAGATTAAGAGAGCAGTATTCGGGCTCTGCCTAAGATCTTGGTGCTTGGGTTGTTTTTGTAACCAACAAAAAACCTGAAAGAGATGAATTATGGATGTCAACAAATAGTAAGAAAAGGAAAGAGAGGATTTGAGTGGCGATAGTACTGCTGTTTTGTGTCCGGTGGTTCGTCCCCTGGGTCATCCAGAACCTAATGTAGCGTCAGGTATCATACACTTAAACCATGAAAGACTCAGAAAGACTTATTAATGACCCGTTTGAACAAGACCGTACTTTTCCACAGAAGATAAGATGATATATTATTAAAGTGTGGTCATCACCTTTTATCCTCTTGGCATCCGTCATCACAGTGTTTGTTCATTTGTTATGAGCCTGAGTACTCCAATGGAAAGTGATCTTGGCTCAGGGATATATTAGTAGTATATTTATACTTTATAAAGAATTGAAGAATAGTAAAAACAAATATATACTGTGTATATATATATATATATATATACTGTGTGTGTGTGTATGTATATATATATATATATATATATATATATATATATATATATATATATATATATATATATATATATATATATATATATATATATATATATGGGCGACTGTGGCTGCGAGGGAGTGCGGTCGTCTTTCAACCAGAAGGTTGGGGGTTCGATCCCAGCCCATGCAGTAAAACATGTCGATGTATCCTTGGGCAAGATACTTAACCCTGAGTTGCTCCCGATGGCATGGCCAACGGTGTGTGAATGTGTATGCATGTTAGGTCCTAGAGTAACATACACTGCTCTGTGTGAATGGGTGAATGACATGTAGTATGTAAAAGCCTTTTGAGGGGTCTTAAAGACTGGATAAAGCGCTATATAAGTACAGTCCATTTACCATATACTGTGTATATATATATATATATATATATATATATACTGTGTATATATATATATATACTGTGTTTAGAGTATATATATATATATATATATACTGTGTATATATATGTGTATATATATATACTGTGTATATATATGTGTATATATATATATACTGTGTATATATATGTGTATATATATATATACTGTGTATATATATATATATATATATATACACAGTATATATATATATATACACAGTATATATATATATATATATATATATATATATATATACACTGTGTATATATATGTGTATATATATATATATACTGTGTATATATATGTGTATATATATATACTGTGTATATATATATATATACTGTGTGTGTATATATATATACTGTGTGTATATATATATATACTGTGTGTGTATATATATATATATACTGTGTGTGTATATATATATATATATATATATATATATACTGTGTATATATATGTGTATATATATATACTGTGTATATATATATATATATATATATATTAAGCAATTTTAAGGTTTCCTGCAGATCCTTAAAACATTTGACAAGGCATTCAATTAATTAATTGCCTTATGTAAATGTAATAATTTTTCAAGACGCCAAGACATGCAAGTAGGATTTACAGAATTAGATTGTTTTCTGACGTTGCATTGTAGAAAGTAGCTTAGATTAATATTACAATTTCAAACAATTGACTCCCACATGCAGATACGTGTGAAATTGGACTTACATGTTTGCATTTATCTGTATGTACCCTCTACTAAATTAGTTGGAAGCCACCTGTTTGCATTGAATACACCTGATTGTAAATGTCTGAGAGTAGATCAGAGTAAAGAGGTGTCCTGCTCTAGGTGTTAAAAGAGCTGAGTCATAACTGCACATCCTTTGCTGCAAAATCATTCTTCAGCTTAGTCCAGGCTCCTTGTAGCTGGAGGCTTCATGTTTATTCAAGGTCCTCTTCATTTTAAAGTCCATCTTCCAGTTCACCAACCATCCACCCACACTGTTATAATCAATTATACACCCCCACTGTTCCTAAGATGAGGTCCAGCTGCAGCAGGATTCTCAGCCGTGTGTGTGTGTGTGTGTGTGTGTGTGTGTGTGTGTGTGTGTGTGTGTGTGTGTGTGTGTGTGTGTGTGTGTGTGTGTGTGTGTGTGTGTGTGTGTGTGTGTGTGTGTGTGTGTGTGTGTGTGTGTGTGTGTGTGTGTGTGTGTGTGTGTGTGTGTGTGTGTGTGTGTGTGTGTGTGTGTGTGTGTGTGTGTGTGTGTGTGTGTGTGTGTGTGTGTGTGTGTGTGTGTGTGTGTGTGTGTGTGTGTGTGTGTGTGTGTGTGTGTGTGTGATCCCGGCTGCAGTCACAGTTAGCTTGCAGTGTGTGCACCTGTCTTCCCATCGCTTGTTGGTGCTGCAGCTGAATGGCACACGTTTATATATGATCATTATAGTTATAAAAAAATACGAGAATAAATGAAAAACAGGTAGGAAATACTATATGACAGTAAAACAAGAATAAAGTTTAAAAAGGTGATTTGTAAAATATCCATTAAGAAAAAGTAAATCTGTTTACAGTTCTGTTTCATATGGGTGTTGAGAGAGGTATCCATAGATCTCTTCATTTTGCTCTCAAAGTGCACCAGATTGATGCTTTTAACTTCAATATTTAAAAATAAATCTTCCCGGGGGAGCTTGCCCCCGGACCCCCCTATGTGAGGTCCACACACCACCTATGCTTACACCTATATGCAGCCGTGAGCTGATTATCGAGCCTTCATTGTGACAGTCGCGGGTACACTGTGTATATGCGTGGGGAATGTTGCAGTAGAAAATTCCACTGTAGCGACCGGTACATTAATGGGAAACCCTAAATGTTTGAGCACCCTCTATGAAACGTCAAGCTACCCCACAGCACCCCCAAAATAAATCTCTGGCGTCGCCACTGAGCCTGACTATTTGTGTTGGGGGGGCCCGACTTTTTTTTTTGTCCAAAGGGGGGGCCTGACAGAAAAAGTTTGAGAACCACTGCTGTAGGGGGTGTGGTCTCAATAGCCATGCAGTAAAAAGTGTGCTATGTGCATGTGATTGAGGAATGGCATGGATATTCAAGTGTACTTGAATGGCATCTGTTTGTTTTAGTCAAGATTATGCTAAAATATACTTTCCCCAACTATATTTAAGTCCCCTATGAAGAGCCAACATTCAATTTAGAAATTCCCATTAATTCCCGTGGAAAGTCTCCATCTTTGAACATTCCCGGAATTTTGCAACCCTAGTTGTGAGCAAAGCTTTTTATTTTCTAGCTCCTTTTTTAAGCATATATAAATCATGTATACAGACTTCCAATGTACCGTGTCCAGGGGCAGATCTACGGGGGGGCAAGGGGGGGCAGCTGCCTCCCCTAGCCTGCCCCCCAGCTGCCCCCCTAACTTTTGTTTCCCTAAAACTGTACTAAAACAAACCTACACTATTTCCACAAGCTTCTCAAGCAACAAAACAAGCATTACATTAGTTCAAATTGAATCATTTTAAATATCATTTTAGGCCCGTTAAAAACGCAGCTACGGCCCTGCATTAAACTGCGGAGCGGCGTTCACACTAGGGGTGGGCGATACCACAA